AGGGTCGCTATGAGTCACAAACGACTTGACGGCACATAACAACAACAACCATATATATGGGAGTGCAAAGGAACCAAAAGAGCCAAAACAATCTTAAAGGATCAACAATGTTGGAGAACTCTCACTTCTCAATTTCAAAATTTACCATAAAATTACAGGAGTTAGGATAGTTTGGCAGTGGCAGTGGCATTGGAGAGACTTACAGATCAATGGAAAGAATTTGGTGCCAAGAAATAAACTTGGACATTTATGATCAACTGATTTTCAACAACCAGGACCATTCAATGGGGAAAGGAGGATCTTTTCAACAGGGACAACTGGATATTCAAGAACAACTGCAAATAAAGATGGCATTTTGACATCACACTAGAAACAATTCAAAATGTATCCAAAACCTAAATAATGTTATGTGCTGCTGAGTCACTTGCAACTCATAGCGACCCTACGACCCTATGTACAACAGCCCTAAACTCTGCTGTCCTGTGCCAATCACACTGTCTCCAACACACCCATTCCGATTACTCCAGTCACTGAATCAATACACCTCATAGAGGCCTTCCCCTCCTGTGCTGTCCCTTCACCCTCCCAAGCATGATGTCCCTCTACAAGGACCGGTCCCTCCTTACAACATGTCCAAAGTATGTCAGACGAAGCCCCAGAATCCTTGCCTCCAAGGAGCCTCCCAGTTTAACCCTCTCAAGGATGAATCTGTTTGTTTGCCTTGCAGTCCACAGTACACTCAGTACTCTTCTCCAGTACCACAGCTCGAAGGCATCAATTCTCCTTCTATCCTCCCTAGTCATTGTCCAACTCTCTGAGGCATAACAAGTGATTGCAAAGACCATGGCCCGTATCAGACACACTTATCAGACTTAGTATCAGACTTAGTCTCCAGTGCTTTGGAGAGGTCCCTAACAGCAGACTTTCCCATCACAGTACATCTTTTAATTTCCATATCCATATAATATCCATATGCATACAAGGAAGTCCAGTGAATACCACTATCATTCAGATATATGCACCAACAGCCAGAGCCAAAGAAAATAGATTTCTACCAACTTTTACAGTCGGAAATTGATCGAACATGCAATCAAGATGCACTGTTAATAAAGGGTGACTAGAATGCAAAAGTTGGGAACAGAGAAGAAGTAGTTGAAAAACATGAACTCGGTGACAGAGATGGAGCTGGAGAGAGAATGATTGAGTTTTGCACAATGACTTATTTATTGCAAATATGTTTTTGGGGTTGTTTTTTTTAATTTTATTATTTTATTTTATGTGTGTGTGTGTGTGTGTGTGTGTGTGTGTTGTCAAATCAGATCTAACTGGTACAAGAGGAGATTGCCCCTCCTTCTCCAGCAGAGCATCTGGTGGATTCGAACCACATACCTCTGGGATTGCAGTGCAGCTACCTGCCACTAAGCCACCAGAGCTCCCAGCAAATGCGTTTTTTAAGAGACATAAGCACAGGTTATATGCATGGATTTCACCTGATGGTATGTATAGGAATCAGATCGATTTCATCTGTGAAAAGAACCGCTGGAGAAGCTCAATATCAGCTTTGAAAACTAGGCCAGGAGCTGATTGTGGGATTGTTGTTGTTATGTGCCATCGAGTCGTTTCCGACTCATAGCGACCCTATGCACAACAGCTCTAAACCCTGCTCTATCCTGCGCCAACCGCACCGCCTCTGACACACCCATCCCGATTACCCCAGTCACCG